TGTCTCGTCTCATTAAAAATATACCAATTTGCTCCTGAAAAATGACCTGTCTCAAAAGCATTATTTAATCTCGGTTTCTTTCAATCTCCAACCTGATTTTTAAATGCAACAGTGAATGAGAAGCAGTCGATGGCTGTATGACGATCAATATAGTCGATGGTTGGAGGGAGATTCCGAGACAAATTGGATTACTTCTGTATAATTACACCTAAAAACGTTTCTGTCTTCTCGACGATATTTTAGTGTGAAATAAAGCTTAATAAATCCCAAACTTAACCTGGTTTGATCTCATGATTAAGTGCCATCTCTATTCCTCTTGATGTTGCTAATTGTCGTTGTTAGTCGCTGGTTTTTCTACCTTAGTAGTTATTCAGAGTCGCCCGCTGGTTTTCAAGCTTTGTGGTGATTAAAGTTATAAATTTTATGAAGTGTAACTGAAATGTGTGAATTTTGTCTGAGGCTATATCAATATATTTGGATATTAAGTCTGTAATATGACAATAAAAATACTCATGTCGTCTCAAATTGAATTTTAAAGCAACTATTATATCGAATTTCATGACAAAATTTAGTTTCTTCAATTTATTTATTAACGGTGTAAAACCATATTACGACACCTACATTTTCTAAAAGAATGATTCCATATTACAATCGAATTGATCTCTTTGAACAATTCACAAAATTTCAAGAAAATAGATGATATAGTATGATTATGAAAACATAAATTTTATATTTTGTAATTCTAAGTCAGTGGTTCCCAGCCTTCAGACTCCCAGAACAATCACCTCCCAAAAATTTGATTCATCCACATTTCCAGCATGTAATGATGTTAGGTGCTCCCTCATTTCAAAAACAATTCTTCTCCTACACCATTTGGCCACACCCCTGACACCCTAGTCCCACACCCTAAGGGATGAAAACACCTCAGGTTGGGAACCGGGGTTCTAAATGAATGTAATTAAATTGTTTATGGGGACTCACGTCCGTTATTATGTCTGTTTATGAAAGAATGCAAATGAGTCGGGATCACCATTGCCACATAGCATAGCTCAGGACCATCTGGAAAGTAGGCGTCAACTTATTTCTTTAAAACACTCGTGACACTTTGTTACTAATCACTTGTATATTACTATATATTCTCATTGCTCTGTTATTTTGTATCATTGCTTGATAAAGACGAAAGTACCTTCGTCGAAACGTCGCAAGTTATTTATTAAAGTAATTGATATTCATAAAATTGTGTCCAGTTACTCGTGGCAGCACTAGACGACTACAGATAATCCTTAATGATATTCAGACGGCCTGGTGAGAGTCCAGTTGTCATCTATATTATTATTCCAATAAAAGATTACCCCTCTCCCTTCGTTTATTGATACACACGTGGATATGGCAAGCCATTTATTGTATTGACCTTCTGCCGGAACCATTTGCTATTCATTACAAGACGTTTTAGAATATAAATCTCTACGATTCGTTTCCAGATATTGTATCGTACAGTAATTAATGACCAGTACGCTGAATTACTAACATTAATAATCTCCCATTTACATTAATCAGCGGTCAGTATCGATCTATCGATCTCAATATCAATACAGATTATCTTTGGTAAACTCCTTTAAATTCATTATCACACTCCACCGGAAGTGATCAAGGGGAGTTCAACATGGTCAGTCACGTGTGTAAAATAGGTGCCATAAAACGAAAGTAGAGATCAATATGTTTTAGCGATATTGATACTGCAGCCTCTTTTATTGTTTTATTGATTTTTATGTCAGTTATTTCTCGTAGTATTTGTTGAAGGAATTGTCTGTATATCGTTTGAGATTGTTACAATGATACTCACTGGCGGAGACGAGAAACACAAAGGTTTAGGCTGACATATGACATAAAATTCGGTAACCAACCTCATGACATTTGTTACGGACCAAAAGTAAAATATAGCGTATAGTTTGACCTAATCGAAAAGGGTGTCACATAAATAAACCGGTCACTGTTTGATATCAGATGTTCAGAAAGAGTGAGAATGTAATGACTATCCTATTAAATGCATCACAAGATATAATCAGTACATACAATTGACAACGTACAATAATCTTCTTTTTCAAGATTATGCATGATGTGTTCAAATATTCTGTTGATAAAATACGACTAACCCGAATCCAATTGGGACCTTTATTCAACAGCGAGAACCAAACCACCATTGTGTCATCTGATTTCATCTCATCACAACAACATCCTGTGAAGTATCTATCTATGTAGATTGACAGTTGTTTTTGAAGAAACTATTCCTTAGTGTGACGTTCAGTGCACTTAAAAGGAAAATTCTGGAACTGGTTAAAAGCGAATAGATGAATGATAATATTAACTGAGGTTTTTTTATCAATTCTTGTCATTAGTATTACCTAGAGAGTTGTCATTATCCACAGTGACTGTATAGTATCAATGATAAGATCAGGTCTTGTTCTGGCATATTGTTTAAATTAAAATGGCATCAATGAGGTTTTATATGCACATTTGTCAACTTCTGAATGGTCTAATGTGAAAATGAAAATTCAATTTTAAAGTTTCACGTCGTGTTTTTTATTTCACGATTGTCCTAATGATGACGAGTAGCATCATAATCTGTTTTAAATGAAGATTAAATAAAGTTTTACGTTCGAATTGCTACTTATAACTGCTCTAATGAAGTCGGGAAATTTCATACCGTCTGTAAATCTCCAGATCCAACAGTAGGGTATTTAATGATATTATGACTTTCTCGTGCTTTGTCATCACCCCTCTCTTTAGCTCGGGGTCACATCATATTCAGGGTCACGGGTTTCTTTCAGAACTGTCAACACAGCAAGAAATGACTATTATATTTGTTCGTTCATTCATTTTCACATTAATTACCACACTGATTTTTATATGACACTTGGTAATGAGCTGAAGAATAATGTTGATGGATGTCAGAATCATAGCACGTGATTGACATATCATGACATATCATACTCGTAATTATTAACTCGATGTCAGGCCACAATGACCATCTTCATTTTAATTAAGTACAAACTACAGAACTACACGTTGGCGTTTTTGGGAATCATTTGGTAATTTGGAAACGCCACTACAACCGCTTCCGATTGATCCTGATCCAACTACCAACGATAAGCGAGAACTGCCTAGTCGGCGATATCAGTTAAATATAAGCGGGCGTTAACCTGTCATTTACAACCCAGTAGTACCGAACTATCCAGATCAAAATACCAGGACCAACAACTACTTTTACAGCTTAAATATCATTTAGCCTGAAGACGCAACCGTCTACCACAACCACTACCGCATTAAGAGACTTATCCGAAATGAAAAAAACTTACTGAACCGAATTTGGCATTGTTGATATCATGGATTTATACATTCCAGATATCTGATGAAAGTTTTAAAGTGTAAAGAAATGCTTAAGTGACAAACCAAGTACCAGGGGATTTGTTATCAAATGTTCAGGAATGGTTCACCGATCACGTCCACCAAATTCTAGGCATTGCTATGAATTAAGATTTAGCAACATCTTTGGATTGCACCGGGTGATATGTAATTGATACACTGACTTTTGTGTGAAGGGGTCATATGTGAAGCTTTGTGTAGTTACCAAAACCTTTTTATTTATGAGTAAAATAGTGTTTATCAATACACATAGACTGTTTTCAGTTAACCTGCTTTTGAATGTACATCGAGATTGATATATTATCAGTGTTATTCTACCATGTTTCATTATCTTATTCAAATAAAAGTCTGAAATTATGAAATGAGATGATGTACGGATATGATTTCGTCTTTAAGAACATACTATTGTGTTTAACAATTCTGGGTCTTCAGGGTCTCTTTGAAGACAATAAAGACTAGTATTTGATTATGAATCCTATTATAACCTTTTCCCTATTGATTGCTATTGTGGTTTGTGTTTTTTTTCTTAATTACGAGTCTAGACTAGGTATGAAGGGACGACAAAATTGATCCCAATCTCTCTAGGTTTCGTGACATAACGAAGACCATTTCGGGTATTTTAAGCTAAGATGTAATTTCTTTCCGGTGGGTTTAAAACATTCTTCATCAATCAACTCTTGGACATCGCGACCCTCGTGTGACCAGATCTAGCTGAGACTTTCATGGAAGTTGAAACCCCACTGATTAAGATGGTGAAATCTTTCAAGTTCAAGTCAATGATTGTGTTTTTTGACGTGTGTGATTTAATCTCCGTGACTAAGTTTACAATCAGGAAAGTTAGAAATTTTTATGTCACAGAGAGCACCTGCACTTTATGGCATGAACCTGAAATATGACAGATTCGAGTCAGTTTATTGGCCCCAAGAGCAAACAAGTTCCTTACAAGATCGATATATTGATTTTGAAAGCTACATGGTTATAAGGTTTGAATTAACAATTGCATATGGAAACCCATAGCATTAAAACGAGATATGCGAATTTACTATACGAACTAAAACTTATTTACAAAGACAGTAGAGTCAGTCAAACTTGTAGACCTTGGAACGGCCACCGTAATCAGTGTGATGCTTCAATCAACGGTCAGTGGAATTTCAAATTGTTGACACAGCTAGCAGTCACCAATTGTATGACATTGCCATCGCATACACATACACATGTACAATACAATAGCTGGAAAAGAACACGCAAGATAGTGACTTAGTGATTTAGTCTGGCAGCATCTTCTGTTGACACTGATACTTCTTTGTTTGAAGAGGCTGGCTCGCGAGTTGGGTGCTTGGTCTGCAGAATAGTGATCCTTGACCATCACCACCACCTACAGCTTTCACGAGGTGTCGTTGACAGTTGCTCAAAAGTGAGTTGATGATAAAAGTACTGTTTGGAAATAGGTTACAATAACACTACTGCATTAACAAGATCTCACTCTTAGCCATCTATCATTGTAATCGCCATTATTTCAATAGGAGCATAAAACCCGGACATGAAACTCCTTTTTATTTCACTTTGTTGGATGAAACATGCCCTTGACTCATGTAAGCAACATTGCATAGTCTAATATCCTTAAATGTGCAGACCGAGACAACCTGCTTCGGAAATCTCAATAGCTTGTCAGGTCACTTTGCCCGGAATTCGTTGAATAATTCCAAGTCTTGTTATTCCATTCATAGCCAATCTACTTTTCAGGCAAAAATCTAAAATAAAGTCTACTGTAATATGAATGTTAAATACAGCGAAGAAAACTGCCTACAGCTATTCAATTCTTGACCATTTACTCCTATATAATTTCCTCAATTTCACCAATTCTCAATCTCTGACGGCTTAACTAGCGATTCTCTTCAAATTCCAATCGATTAGTAGCCTCTGGGTACTCTCAAATCATGGCTTTATAATAACTATTAAATGAAGCAAGCGACATACAATTAATATCTGCTATTTTCTGATTATTCTTATTTAAATTTTCAAGACTTTTCAATGTCAACATAGTTTTTAGAACGGGGGAAATAGATGACTGGAGTGCCATTATCGTTAGAGAAAAAATCTTCAATTTCATGCGATCAAGATAAGTTGAGATGTAGTTGAAGTACTATCTGTATCAGTACAGTTTAATCTAACTGTCAATTCTCCAACAACTATTTTCTTTACATCACCACTTTTTTTAACTTCTTCAAGTTTTGATGCTAAACGAACAAGACGTTTCTAATGAAAATTTTAGTATTTTTCTCTTCTCTTACTTGTTTTTGCTGTGAGAATGTCCGCCTTCGGGATTTCATGGTTGGGAAGGGATACTTCGTCTTCGTAATTTTTTCTCATTCATGTCGAACCATGTTTCACATCACAATTTATGCCTTGTTTCAAAGTTGTCCGCCTCCATTGCTGTTTTTTTTTTCGGCTAGTCTGTCTATGAATTGTAATCCATTTAAATATTCTTCTGTTAATCAGGAGAAGTATTAGCATTTTGCTGTGGTATGCATTTATGTTGTCCGCCTCCTCAATTTTCCAGTTTTAGTCTCAGATGGTGAAGTGGGTTTTAAGATTTTAACGAATACATTAATTAGTGAAATTTTAAAAGAAGTCGAGACGGCCTTCACACGCACAAAACGTCCTTTAATATTTCATTCTCTCGGGAAATAGAATTAAGAGTAATTACATGTGTAGTCTATGTATGACTTTAGATTCCAATTTAACTGAACACGTTTTTAAAAGTCTACAGATTTCAATTTCCAACCTATTGAGTCCGCGAGATGGCGACCGACGCAGCTGTTTAACATTACTTCCTGATCACTTGTAGCAATGAAGCAATAACATTCCTCTCACTATTAAATTTTTCCAAAAAAATATGCATGCTGTCACTAGTGACGTGTTGTGTCATACGGCGTCTCTTGAACAGCATAATAATGGCGTTCCATATAAGAGATCTTACCGACTTCACTGGTAATTAGGGAGCTATGTAGTGATATGAAGTAGTATTTCGGCTTTCAAGGCATAAACTGATTTCGGATTTTCATATTGTTTGTTTGATTGGTCATCAACCTCAAAAGTTCAAATTCATTTCCACAATGGGATTGTGGCTATTGGCTGAATACTGAGGTAACATAACATGTTAGTGCTGAACAATATAAATATTTCCCCGATTTCGTTACAGTCTTTGATTGTTGGTTCTTTTAGTGACCAATAAATCTGGCTGAATAATAATTTCCAAGATCATGGTATTAAATGCATGTAGATCTGCATATTAGTCAGATTGTTGATTCTATATTTGATGATATTTTATAGGTTGTATGGAGAAAGATTTAAAACTATACCAATATTTTACTACACCATATTCTCCTAGATTTACAGATTTTTATCAAATTGTTTATGTTAATTCTATAATTAATGATTTTTTGTATGAAGATAAGTGTAATATGTTCCCGTTTTACCAGATATTAATCATTCAGTTAATTCTATCATTGATGATATCTTATAGGTGGTATGGAGAAGAGTGGAAAATGACCAATATTTAACAGTAGGTAAAACCACGTGGAATAATGATGAAGCTTTACGAATTGATCATGAATACAAGGATAATGAGATCACATCTTGGGATTTAAGAATTGTAAAAGTTAGACAAGATCACGCTGGTGTATATGAATGTCAAATTACTTCAACTAAAGAATATTTGAGGCATATTACATTAACAGTAGTTGGTAGGTATTAATCATAATGCTCTCATTATAAACCTTATATGAACATGTTCAATATCTTCCGGCAAGGCTAGAGGGTTGCTTTACAGTTTGTTTTATGAAGAGGAATCCTAGTCTGACTCTAAAAGGGAAGGTAAAGAGGTTTTCTAAAATTTATGTCTTTTGGGGCCACTGATAGCATCAATTTGCACCATTCCAATTATCAGTCAGATGTATTTAGTTCCGTGTCATCAAACACTTAGTTTAAGTTGAATTGCAGGAACCACAGACGTCTGATTGAAAATGAGAGTGGTGTAAATTGATGTTATCATTGTTCCCGATACACATAAAAAAAAAATTAAACCTCTTTACAATCCCATTAACTCTTGAATTGGTGGGGGATTTGGTCTTGAATCAAAATATTGATATTGGTTATATATATATATATATATATAGTTATTCTTTACAGACCAGAAATTAGGTGTCTTCTTTTTGAAATTTGATAATTCTGTTAAACAAAAAACTATCTATTTAAAAAAAACAACGATGAAAACGCAAAGAGAGGTAGAAATAAAGAACACAGATTTATACCACGGTTAAAGATATAATAAGGGTCTGTTTAATTAATTTGAATGATTATCAATGATGATAAACAATTTCTATTTCAGGTCCGCCAATACAACAACCAGGTATGTCTTTTATTACGTTTATATTTTAAAAGTACATTTACCATTGAAAACGCTTCAGTAACATAAAGTAGAGAAAATACTAACCGTCAAACGATTTTATTTTTAATATCATTGTCTGAATTTATGAATTAGTATTCATACAGATATCAGACAACTTCATACGTATTTTCATTTCTTTTAACTTTTTTTTGTTTTTTGATGCAGTGTTTTAGTTTCTAGACAATCATATTCATCAATGAATAGGCTGGTTGCGAGACTATCTTGAACAATGGGAATATTTAAATACTTCATATCAATACATCACAGGGTTTTGTTATCATCAACTTTCGTCATTTTACACAACAATAACAAAGCACCTTTGACTGTCTTTGAACTTAACGCCTGTGTGTTACAAGACATTCAAATATTCAAGAAGTATGATATGCTCTGGAAGTTTTTAGAGAAAATCGTTAAAATTTATTATTTTAGGTGTTAACAAAGACAATAGGATAATTTGAAATAGATTTATCAATATTTTGTTTTAATGAATACATAATTAGAAGAACACAATATGCTAAGGACACCTGTTTTTAGTGTAAAATCATCACAAGTCTTTTAGTTATTTCTTGGACTCCATATTTGGCTAATAATAAATAAGTAACTATCATCAAAAGGAAAACCCCAATAGCCAAAAAAAACCGAAAGGCCCAGCCTAGGGGTCTCGACCCACTTTAGTCCACGGATCCCCCACTCAACTAGTTGCGCCACTGTTAGCTAGTCTTACGCGAAAAGGATTTTTACTTCCTGAAGGGCATGGAATTATTGTTCTTGAATGTTTTTTTTTAATATTTTTGCTTTGTAAAATAACCGTTAATGGATATAAACTTGAGATAGAGGAATAATTGGTCTAATTCAATTCATTGGCTTTACTTTTGAATCATTTCTTTTAATCCAGACTATATCCTCGTCATAGACAGGGATTGCTTAGACGTCAGAGACTATTGTGGGTGATCACTTGTCGTGACCTAGCTTAAAGTCAGTCAATATAAATTTCTTTGCTTGTCCACTGTCATATTCACAATGTCAAACTATTACCATCTTTGGCTTATACCTTTTCTCCAATAGCCGCCGTTCTCCTATCACGGAATGCGGCGATTTGATTGGATTGTACACCGGCGACAATCAGAGCACTCGACAGAAAGACTGTACACATTAGGGCTTAGTGTTTACATACATTGGGGCATCTGTTTGACTGTATTTACGAACTTCAATAATAGGAGAAATGCGGCTATTGGAGTTAAGGAATAAGTTGAATAGCGTAATAGTCCAGTGTATATGACCGATTTTTTCGATTTGTCCTATCATTACATAGTCATCCTCACAATCCTCAATAATACCTTGAGTCCCTGTGGATGCACCACCGTAATATTATTCGGTTTAAACCCAGCCACTGTATAAACAGTGTGCATGAAAGATTATTATAGCCGGTATTTTCTCTAGCAATTAGTAAGCATCAGACTGGAAGTATTCAAATGGTTATGATGAGGTGCTTCTATTCACCACGCTCTTGGCACCACAAGAGAAATAATTCACTCAATCTCTCGTTAAGTGCATTTTATATTTCAAATTTTCAATAAAGTGAAGATTCCTCAGGAAATAGGTATAGTCCAAATCACCGTTAAAATCGAGACGGGCCATGTAAGGTTTTGGACTGTTTTCTAGAAACGTCAAGTTACTAAGTACTAATCCCTTCCTTACAGCAAACACTACAGTGGGTACAAAATGATCATCGGGTAGTTTTAAAACGAAATCTGCACAAAAAGCTTTTGTAATTGGTGATACAATTCCATACCCCTTCTGCATGGACTTCGTCGTTTAAATACCGCACTGTTTGGATAGATGTTTAAAATCAGAGTCAGAGATCTCGGACTTAACCACTCGTTACTTTCAACCATTTAGTTGAAATTGTTGAAAAGAAAACACGTTGAATGATAAATTATGCGTGAAGAATCTTTTCATTTCAAATATTACAAACCTTCAGTCAGCAAACCGATTCTTTTCCATTTTATCAGTTTTATTTCATTTTTTATTGTTCAGTCCATTAGTTTGAAATTTCAAGCTATCAAGTATAGACGCTAGTCAGCACTAAAATTCACAAGTGTATCGCTAGCTAAACTGGCATACTCACACTCGCGGCACTTCCGGTGCTATTCATTGTATGCCTAAGAGACAATTTGGGCTTCGACTCAAGAAAATTGGCGTTAGTTATCATTTTATGAGATATCATATCTATCTGCAGTTAGCTCTTTTGCATAAATAGTCAATTTTTGTTCGCAAGAGTTTCTGCTTTTCTGTGTCGTCAACTAAGGCCTCCAAACAGTGGTGGTAGCTATCGCTATAATGGTTTAGGGATGCAAATGCAATTGTAATTGTAGGTTCAAAAGGGATTCACTCTCTTAAAATAAAAACTTTCAAAATTTCAGGTAAAGGAAAAAACCGTGTACACAAATTCAAACCTGGACTTGATGGAAATAAACGTGAGTTCGAACGTCCTTTCCTGTAATCTTCAACTCTTGTTTCTCGTGTATTTGGGGCACCCTTTTTCCTATTTTACAAATTTAAAGTTTGCACCATTCATTTGACTGATGACCTATTCGGATTCGGTTGTTTTTTTTTTCTTTTGACCATTAGACATACTCTTTATTTTTAGATTTGAATCTCAGGGATAATTTTGGGTATAAATAAAAAATATAACAATCAACATGTTTTGAATTCTCCCCTGCATTCGTTTATTTATGCTTCTTGTGGAGTTAATATTCCATGCACACCATCTGTATGCGGTTACACTCTCGATTGTAGTGTATATATTTTAACTGTACATGATGTCTAGATACAGTATGAGGTATCTCTTATACCAGTGCTGTGTTTCATGAACGCTTGTCGTGCACCAGATACCATTGCTACCAATCGTATGTGGTTGTTGAATATAACATACCATAACTCTGACAGATTTGCTGTAGAATGTCATTACTTCGTAATTTGTAAACAATCTTACTGGAACAAACAAAAAACATACTGCTCTGATTTTTTTACGTTTCATAGATGTTTTTCTTAAAAACTAATTTAAGATTTATCTGAATTAACTCTTTGAAGAACAAGGCCCAGAGCAGTGGCGGGGCCCAGAGCTGGAAATCTTCTAAAAGCGGATTATCTGAAACTATACAAATCCAAAAATGAGTTTAAAGTATACCTTATAGTATTTTACTGTCTGTCAATTTCAGACGTGATGTCAACAGCAGCCGTTAAAGTTACTGGTAAGGATTATGTGGAATTGGGACACCGCATTCATCTGAGATGTAACGCCACTGGGGGTCCCCAGATGCCAGAGGAGATCGACTGGTTTAAAGACGGAGATAAAATTGACTCTGAAAAATATAAACATATTATAATGACAAAATACCATTCTATAAAACATCGTGCATTAATCAGTGAACTATATATAGACAGAAGTGCCATGTCGGATACCGGTACTTATATATGTCGGAGCTCTGATGACGTCATTTCCAGCAAATCTGTGACGGTGTTATTAGGTAAGGTTTTTATACGGATTATTCTGAATAGGCCATGGCTATACATACCGTGATGATACATCATATCTTTACCTGACCCTAAAAATCCGTTTAATAACATTCTTGACCATCAAAATTGCTTCACTCATCAGAAAAAAAACTAGCAACTGTTGCTAACAACTGTAAGGAAAAGATGGAAAACAAAGACAATACTCGTCTAGGGTGCAAATAGCCAGTGCAACCGAAACATCATATGCCCATTCAATTACATTTCCTATTCAGAGGATCAAGCACACAATTCAGAACAACAGTATATAGAATATCTTGGTCAGCTGCAATTAGAATTGCCGTCAGCCACATGATTACATGTCGTGGGATTTTTTCTTATAACAAGTACAATTCCTTTCCAAACGCATGACGTTCTAATAGCATTTCCACACGTATCGCGCAATGGCCCAGGAAATTCCAAGTGCGGTGTATCTACGTGTAACAGTCCCCAAAATCGGAAAAGCTATACAATGCCATTAGTTTTTACGTTGATACGGTACAAATAGTTTTATTTTGCTAATTCAATTTTTTTTTTTTTTTATATTTCAGCCGAATCTCCGAATGTTAAACGTGGTAAGTAATGAATAACTTTGGTTAACTGGAAAGTATACCGTCGAGGCTTCTTTGAATCTAAGCAGATTCATGTACATTTATGTGTTAGAAATTTAACGTTTATCCCCATGGCTTCTGGGACATAAACTGCCGATTATAAGTACACTAATAGCCATCTCGGCCCTTTGATGAACAAATTCTAGTATTCTACCAAATATACAGTGTTATTGACTATTATGTATACGTTTGTAAATATAGGCTATAGTTTTCTGACATTAATACTAATTTCGTATCTTCATTCGACCATTTCATGTCTAACTGCAAAGAAATAGCCTGGTTAGGAGCGCACGGTCTTGTCTAAACTCATAAAGACATTGTAAAGAAGTTTTCTAAAAATTTTATTTGTAGGCCTATGAGGGAAACTACTGGCATCAAATTTTAATTGGACGTCTGGGGTTCCTGCAATTGCACTTAATCAAAGTGTTTTATGACGTCACTAATCGCGAAGCGCCTTAAGCATATTTTGCGATACGTAGTCCTAGTGGAATTGCAGAAACCACAAACGTCTTATTGAAAATTGGAATGGTGCAAATTGATACTATCAGTGTCCCCAATACACACAAATATTTTAGAAAACCTTTTTACGATGTCTTTCAGTTACCACAATACATTTCTCGGACCTGTTTTCATGTCATTTTGCAATAATTCAACCTTTGTCTATTCTAGGTACGGGATCGTTTAACAGTCTCTCAGACTCAGCCTCGTTCCCGGGATCCGGAAGACTCTTCTTATTTCTTTTAGTGACTCTTTCAATATGGCTGCCGACCACGTGACAAACTAAACTGTGCAATCGGCGTGCCTTAATATTATCATTCGTAGTGCGGTGCGTTATTACGGGTCATGTCGTCATGTGATTGTCACGTGGTGATAACGTGACTAACAGATATGGGTCGGTGGAAAATGGCGGAGGGAAGAATGAAGACGGAGTATTCAGGAGAGAAATTGGAATTGCTTATGTGATATAATCGGATTGATCAAACGCATCAGCAAATATTGTGATATTGCGTATTATGTGTTGTTTCGTTTCCTTGTCCTATTCGGTTGAAGTGGGTATATTTTAGTGCAATTGAAGGAGAAGAGTTACCACAAAATGTGATTGTGAAATTGTGGAATCTAAAAATTTGTAGATAATCCCGAATTTGTTAGGAAGAACATGATACACATTAACTACCTATTGTTCTATATTTATCAATTATGTTCGGGCCTCAACTCAATGCTTTGACTACAGAAAAAAAAAACACCTCAAATATTGATATAAATGTAGGCCCATAAAGTCGGTCTTGAGACCTCGCTCTAAAAACTGTCGAAATCAGTTGACACGAAAAAGAAGTGCCGATTGTAAATATAAATATTCGACGCGTAAAGTAAAACATCGAAGAGTGGACAGTGTCGAAACAGACAAACTGATTTAAACTATTACTTAAATTATGATTGTTTCACTAAATGTTGTCATTATTTTCGTCAATTTCATATTTTGAATCACTATTTAGAGTTGTTCCTGTCATCAAACCCGCCTATACATGTTTTCTGCGTAAACCTCTACACAGTTCCAGGACGCTACTATTGCTTCCAGATGAATATGTCTGTTTCCAGCTGATAAAAACTAAATTGTTTAAGTCTAGGTTTTAATTCTCTCATTGCCGATGGCGCAGATTTTTATAGAAGACGTTCTGAAATTGGCTCAACAGTCTGGCAAGTGGAACAGAGGAAAGAAATCATGAAATCATTCTATAAACTGGTATATCGAAGCGGTAGACGACAATATCTCTTAATTGAACATTACAATGATGGGAATTCCCAAACCTCTGATTTGACATTACAATGATGGGAATTCCCAAACCTCTGATTTGACATTACAATGATGGGAATTCCCACACCTCTGATTTAACATTATAATGATGGGAATCCCCACACCTCTGATTTGACATTACAATGATGGGAATTCCCACACCTCTGATTTGACATTACAATGATGGGAATTCCCACACCTCTGATTTGACATTACAATGATGGGAATTCCCACACCACTGATTTGACATTATAATGATGGGAATTCCCACACCTCTGATTTGACATAGGGTTTCAACGGTTTCAGAATAATCAGCTGTATATTTAACAATTTTTGACACCTAAATATTTATATCTATGATGGATCTTGCAAAGACAATTGTAAAGGGTGATCGTTTTGTACTATGCACTATTAATGGTCTTGTAAATGTTTTTGTTTTTGATTTGAACACAAACACGGAGTCGTCTGTTCATTTTAATGTAAATTGTCTGTTGATTAAATTTAAAGTCTATCAGCACAATTTAAGACGTTTTTAAATATCTACAAGTGTGTAAAAATGTCGTTGATTTGTTCTAGTAAATTCTCACTCCCAAGTTTCGTTAATTTGAATTTCCATAGCATTGATTGTCTAAGAATGAAACACAAGAACGATTAGTCAGTTAAAGATCCACGAGTTTATATAGATACTCAGCACTAACAAGATACTAGTTTTGAATCACGATCTGGACCATTTAAAATATCAATAACTGTTTACCGGACCGTGTTCCAATATTAGATGTAGGTTTTTGTAGATCGGGTAGGCCAATGTTTCTATGTAGTAATAGACCTGCTACACCATGCTTTCCCTGTTGCAGGAGGTAGGCATCTACTAGATTAAAGACACTTGGTGGAAACTCGTGAGAGAAAAAAACAATGATTGAATTCCATGATGTACATGTGTAAATTATGAATATGAAAATGATTATTTGAAGCGATGGATGAACAGAAGACACTGATCAAGAAAATTACGACGATGTACAATTTTGTAAATTATTGATGTTCACATACTGAAATAATTTGTTTTTTTACTTGGCCATTTTCTATTTTATTTATTTGTTTTGTTTTTGTTGATGTTTATTGTAAATAAATTATTTGTGTATATTGCTGATCGTGTCAACAAGAAATTGTCTTTAAATTAAAATAGTACATTTCGTATTTCAGTTTCGTTTGTAAAGTAAGATTGAACTTACGAGTGCGACTGTTGGAAAATACATGCTTACTCTTTTCGAAACACCTGATAGTACTTCTCGTTGGAGGAGTCCACTACTATACGACCTTTACTCTCGATTTTGCCATTCCTTGGACGAGATTTTTGATTGATGGAATGGTCTTGCTTGTATGGATTTTATTGGGGAACTGTTTAAAACTGATCAATTGTTGCATTCAGCCAAACTAAACGCACCGACGTCTGACGATTCAAAGTTTGCAAATTAATATCATTAACATGCTATATCAGCACACTACATCGTTGGTAGTCTTGATTTTGAATTTAAACCTTTTGTAATGAAGATCATAAATTTCTATAAACCTCATTATATCATCTCTGCAGTATAGTCACATATTTTTAGTAATGTATATTTAGTAATGCGATTTTTGTGAAAACAAGTTTAAGAATACGTGATTTGTGTAAGTATAGCTTAAAAACAAGACACATGTAAAATCTCAGTAATAGTTTCAACAGACTGAGGTGGAATATTTACTAGTTTTTAAAAGCTAGACCCAGCAGGGGCTTCCTGCTTTACACATTTCTAACATTTAACTAATGTTTCTTACGAGGAAATAATTAATTTATTCTTCGTGTGTCGACAAAATTCTCAAATTCCTCGCTTTTTTATATTTAAATAACAAGCTAACAGTGTTTCTGGTGTGTAGAGGATATTGTGGCTCTAGGAATCACTGTCAGTGGTCTGTCTATATAGCTCTCAACAATTACTATGAAATCGTAAAAATACAGTAGAGGCCACTAATTGGTCTGTGGAGACCTCGTATACATGTTCAAAAAGCTGTACTCTAAAATTTTCCGTTGTTCCTGAGGACCTGGGTTTTTATTATTACCTTATCAAATTTCAACTTAACGGCTACGGACACTTGAAGGGATCTTCCTGCGATATTATTTATTTCGTCCCGTTAGGTGGTCAGTTTAATTAAAGGATCAAGGACAAAATCAAAAAGTGATGTTTGTCACCATACTTTTATATAAAAAAAATACAACCATATTATTGCTAATATTCCATATTGAATTTAAATATTATTTGACAAGTCTTAAGATATTTCGGTTAAAGCTATAAAGCTATATCATATATTGTTCGATGTACATGTACTAAAGCACATTCACTAAAGGCAACGTTGATAATATAACAGAAATATCGTGATGCAATGTCAAAATCTGTATATTGCATGTTGGAGAAAGATTTAAACAATAGAACAATAGAGATTATAGAGTTTGAATATCATTATATTATGATACTGTCAATTCCCCAGTTATTTTGAACTATAAAAACAAAAGGTTAAAATCATTATTCTAATGATACCAAATAAAATAGCAGAGAATTAAAGGTGATAATAAAAGCGAATGATGAATAGGAACTAAATTGTTTTACACGATACACATTTTTTCTGGGATTCTTAAATAATCGTAGTTCATTCCCGAGAGTGGAAGGTTTTGCGAAATTCAATTCACAAAGTCGATTTATAGTTGCTGCGAGGACTCATAGTCATCATGGGACACTTTATAATTCCATTTGTACAACTTAAATCTTAATGTACAAATAGCGTTGAATATCAAACTATAGATGAATACTAGATTGTGATGACAAAGTTGTTAACAAATAAAATCTAAGTTCTATTCTTCAGCAGGACTTCCATTGTTCAAAATGAAAACTGTTTACAATAATAACATTTGTCTATCGCGTTCATGATTCCTTTTGTATATCTTACCAATTCTATTATCAAAATGTTACATCTTATTCAAACTGTGGTAATATCAACACCCTGTGGTCATGTACTTGATCATATCAGCATAATTTGTCCATCGTATACACATGTATTCAGTACATCGAAATATTTTGTAAATTGTATCAGCTTTGATTCCACTGCTCTTGACCTTTCAGTGTTCAAATTGACTGCAAAGGCA